CAGTTCTCGTTATTTGAAGATTGGAGAGAGACAATTGGAATGATTTCTGTTTCCATGTTTATTCGAAAAAATAGATGAGAGGAAGATAGAGAGTTGAATCTCCTAATGTCTTCTCATGTCTCTCTGGGTTCCCATGAGCACCTCCTGCATTGTAAATGTCTGTACACATTGGTGACTACAGCAGGAGACATGAGTGTCCATGAGGAGGACATAGGAATTCGGGCAAGGAGATCTCTCCAGAAGAAGACGTGAGTCTTCATGAGGAGAACATGGGAACTCGGGCAAGGAGATCTCTCCAGAAGGAGACGTGAGTCTTCATGAGGAGGACATGGGAACTCGGGCAAGGAGATCTCTCCCGAAGGAGACGTGAGTCTTCATGAGGAGGACATGGGAACTCGGGCAAGGAGATCTCTCCAGAAGGAGACGTGAGTCTTCATGAGGAGGATTTGGGAACTCGGGAAAGGAGATCTCTCCAGAAGGAGATGTGAAGTCTTCATGAGGAGGACATGGGAACTCAGGCAAGGAGATCTCTCTAGAAGTTCTTCAAACCGTTGTGTGATACAGCCCCCCGGACTCCACAGTGAAGTATCAGATTTTGATGGAACTTTTACAATTATACTGGGCAGCTGCCCTTATTTGGGGCTTCAGCACCCCAATTTTTCTTCTCCTTTTTTATTGCTTATTATTTGAGGTGTGCAGGATTCCCTTTTTAACCCAACTGTGGTCCTTCTACCATCTCTAGTTTAGCACTTACTCTTTTATTACCATCCCACCTACAATTATAACCCAGATGACCCTGCTGAGACTTTACCAGTACCACATTGGTGACTACAGCAGGAGACATGAGTGTCCATGAGGAGGGCATGTGGGAACTCAGGGAAGGAGATCCCTCCAGAAGGAGACAGGAGTCTTCTTGAGGAGGACATGGGAACCCAGGCAAGGAGATCTCTCTAAAAGTTCTACAAACTGTTGTGTGATTCAGCCCCCCGGACTCCACATTTCAGTGAAGTATCAAATTTGGTGGAACTTTTGAAATGATAGTGGGCATTTCCCCTTATTTGGACTTTAGCACCCCAATTTCTTCTCCTTTTATTGCTTATTACTTGAGGTGTGCAGGATTCCTTTTTAACCCAGCTGAGGTCCTTCTACCATCTCTAGTTTAGTTGAATCTCTCAATGTCTTCCATGTGCACCTCCTGCATTGTAGATGTTTGCACACATTGGTGGCTGCAGCAGCAGAAGAAAGTCTGCTTTCTTGCCCAATTTTGGTAGAACTTTGCACCCCCATTTCTTCTACTTTTTTTTTCGTTTTGGAGATCTCTTCAAAATGCTGTACAAACCAGTATGTGATTCCGCTCCCCCTGGGCTGTGCATCTCAGTGAACTATCAGATTTTGGTGGAAATTGGAAATGATAGTGGGCAGTTCACCTTTTTTGGGGCTTCAGCACCCACATTTCTTCTCCTTTTATTGCTTATTATTTGAGGTGTGCAGGATGCAATTGTTTTTCACACACACACACATACATACACTTATAATGCAGAATGTGCAGAGTGGATTTGTGCACTCAGATGACCATGC